AGCACAACATGTTGACAACAAAGTACAAACCCTCTTCAGGCAAACTAGGCTCAACATTGTGCAGAATCGCAAGCCTGACACTGAGAAGAACGAACATAGTTTAAAGCTTACTACAATAGGGGGTTGATGCGCTACATCCCGATATCAAATTTTCAAGATTAGACTCATAGTGACGAAAAACATTATTTAACAAAGCCTGTTCGTTCCCCTTCGCCGCCATCTTTGACGATTTGTATGCCGTTTCGGGATGCTATGACTGCCGTTTTCGGATGCTATGACTGCCGTTTTATAAGCTCGGCAACCTTTCTCGGGCGCTTTTGTACCTGATACGCGAGTTTTGTTTCCATGTTAACCGATTATTTTTCCATTACAGGAGCGTTTGGTTCAGTTTAGGAATCTTGTTGCAGTTTCGGAAGTTTATTTTCCTACTTTGGCGATTTTTGTTCTGTTTTGGTGTATATGAGTTCAGTTTGGAGGATTTGTTCACCGTGTGTATGGTAGGCCTGTGTCTACATGACTGATACAATGACAATGCAACGTTACAGGTATTCACTATTGTGATGTCATGACATTGTCATTTTAGACTACCAAAATCTTTGTTAAATGTATAACATGTCTTTGTTGTTTGGTATTTTAACGCTGAATACTTTTTCAGACCTATTAACGTTTTGTGTAACTTGGAAATCAACTCTAAACAATATGTATACATTTGTTCTAAAATAGTCAGTATGACTGAAATAATGACGGGGCAACTTTACAGGTATTCACAATTGTGATACCGTGACGCAGCATCGTCCTGTAATCATTCCTGTTATCAGATTATGTATTTAGAAAAATAAGTATATTGAATTTTGTTTATGCAGAAAGTATTCGAATATCAATGTTCTTGCAACTTTTTGGGAATATTCTACCAGACATATTATCAATTCATGATTACACATCTATTATCCACGGCTTCTCGTTGCTTTTTACCCATACATGGCACATAGTGCAGGCAAAATAACAAATTGCAACAGAAGATATTTCACAACAATGCATTTACACAAGGTCACAAGAACATAGCGAACCTCCTAAGCTGCTTAATCCAGTAAAACCAATATTTCTTTTTAGCAATATTTCATTTTAAGGTAAGATAAGGTTCAATATATTAATGAAAAAAGCATGTGTCTTATTGCAAACTAGCCATGCTGTGTTTCTATAGAAATATTAACGATAGTTACTGTACATGTTTAACTATTTATCTAAAAACAATACACGATAGGCCCAATTTCAAGATGGCCGCCACGTTTCCTGAGTGTGTTTAGACTGTGTAGTCCTGATGAACACTTTTAGATACGGTATCCTGTCACATGGAATATCAATACATTGTTGGTCTCTGATGAGGAAGCGAGTGATTTGATAAGTTAACATCACAAATCAAATCCATACAGTGACGAGAAGCGTTATGTTAAATACAAACGGAAATTGTTAGCATCACAGAAAGTTAGCCTGAAATATTCAAACCATTTTGTGACGAGAAGATTTATGCAAAATTAAAAAACAAAATTGTCGCAAAAGAAAAAAACCATCAGCAAATGATCACAACTGGAGTCTAAAAACTAACCATTCCAAATATTAATATATATCTATTCAACACAAATATCAACATTACTTTGAATACCATTAAACTAGGAGCTATATTAATTCGGCTTCCTGCATGAACCCACTCACTGTTGTAGATAAGGCTAGCCATAATTAAGACATGTCCAAATATGAAAGTATAACATTCCGGTTTTCTGCAATGTACTCGGATACTATTTGGAATAACATGCCACTATCAGAGGACAATCTGTTTACAATACAGCCCAATTTAATAGCGCTGCCGAATATGTTTTGTAATCAATTACATCAACCTTAATTAAAACACTCTTACATATCATAGAATTAAAAAGGAATTTACTTTGGTAAAAAGATCCTTCATAATTTAAACTTTGTAATAAGGTTCCCTTGTGAGAGAAATCTCTTCACACTAAAGCAAAAGGTGCTTGATTGTGACTCTATCATCACAACGGATAGACAATGGGAGATTCTCTCTTTTCAACAATTATTCATAAGTAAAACGCGAATGGCCTTTGACATCCTAAGTAGGTATAACCTAAAGTTTGTTTAATTTCACGAAGTTTGATTATATCTCATTTGACGTTTCACTTTGTTTGCCTTTTCTGTCAGATTCACTCTCACATATAAGGTTTAAAATGAGAGGGTTGGGGTGAGTTACGAATCGGCAATATATCAGCTATATCGTGACTATATCAAGTTATAGATTCATGATAATTGAAAGTAATTTATATAAAGCTGTCACCGAAGTACAACTAGTTTATCAGATATGAATTTAAAACTTATTGATTAACCATTTTAATTATAGATGACAAGTGTCACGCGACTCGCATGTGTGTTAATCAACATGGCCGTAAGTGCCTGCGCATTTGTTAATTCAGCTCATCTAGTTGAGCCGTGCGTCCCCTTTTTCTAATTTTAACTCTAACTAACATCTTTTAACACCTGTGTATGTACCCTCTTGTAGAGGAGTTTACTATCTTTGTGTATATGTGACTCCCGTCACTGTATCTGTTTTTATATGAGAGGTATAAGAGTTTATGCCGCTCCAACCTATATGTATACCCTATATTATATCAGGGTTTTTGCTGACTACAAACTTGTACAAACTATGGTCTCAATCTCCAACTATAGTATGACCAGAAATTATTGAGAATTTTAGGAATATGTTTAATTGGAATTCTAGTATAAACAAACTTGACCAGCTATCATGTGCTTGGTTTCATTCAAGAGAGACAACTCCGTTAATCCTTTTTCATTAGTTTGTGAAGAGTTATCCCCCTTTGTTTACTTGCTAGCAGACGATATTTTCAGTGATCCTCAGTATGGATGATTTAGAGAAGAGGAAGTTGATTTTAGAGTATTATAACAAGGACATCACATCAGCTAAAGTGATTTCAAGTGGAACAGGCATCCCTTTGTCCACTGTTTATCGTGTTTTGAAAAATATTGCAAATGGATATGGCATTGAGCACCAGGGAGCCGCAGGTGGGCCCATAAAAAATTGACTGTCGGTGACAGGAGGCGGCTTGGTATTCTTCTTTCTAAAAACAAACGAAGGAGTTTAGAAAACTTAAGGCTGGATATGATTGATAGAGGAACTGTGGCTGTCTGCAAGGAGACAATTAGAACTGAGCTGCATGCAATGGGTTGGCATAAAAGTCGAGGAATTCCATCACCGATCATGAAACCTGAACAAAAGGAGCGAAGGTTGAACTGGTGCTTACAGCATAGTAATATTAACTGGGACAATGTGATTTTCTCAGATGAAAGTTCTGTGTGGCTGTTTCCTTATACACTGAAATTCTGGACCAAACAAACTGAAAAACCTTTGTATCAGCGCACAAAGTACAGTCCGAAATTTAACGTGTTGGGTGGCATATCTGTGTTAGGGGCAACGCCCCTCTCTGTATTTGAAGGGAATATGAACATTGAGCGGTACACAGATATTCTCGAGGGACATTTACTTCCATCTGCTCACGTGGTCTATGGAAATTTTCGGATTTTCAAGCAGGACAACAACCCAAAACATCGTTCAAAGCATTCACAGGCCTGGTTTCGGACCCAAAATATGACATTATTAGATTGGCCAAGCTATAGCCCCGACCTAAATCCAACACAAAATGTTTCGGAAAGTGTCAATAAGAAAAATCTGACAAATATTGCTGAAATGAAAGAAGAGGTGGTCCGATATTGGGACAGCATGGATCACGACTTTCTAACTTCTTTGATCAGTAGTATGCCCCGCCGCATTGAAGCCTGCATTGCTGCCCATGGTGACTTGACAAAATACTAACTGTTCACCTGTCTTTGAATCTGGAGTTATGTTCTGCTAATATTCACATTTAATACGTGAGTAATGGGTGAAAAGTTTTGTAAAAATTACAATCTTTAAATTCTCAATAATTTCTGGGTGTATATCTATTTGTAGTAGAGCTCACGCTATTCTTATACAGGTATTCCCCTTCACTGTACATACGCTTACAAGTTAGTGATAGTCGTTTATGTAATCAAGTATTAGCACACTTCTGTGCTGGTGAGAAGCTGGATGCAAACTTTCACCTCGCGTCGTGTATTGTCCTCTGCGACGTCCGCCGGTTTACGTTATAGCTGCACGTGGCCAGTTGTCCAGACACAGTACTAGACTGCTGTGTGCATGTCGGCCTGCTACCAGTCGACCAATCGTCGCATCGTGGGACGACCTGAGGACCGAACTTGGGAGCTTTTTTGTGATGGTATATCTTGTTCTGTTCTGTTTGTCCTGTTGATCACTTGGGGTGTTAAATGTTTATTGGTACGTTACTCTCCCTGTAAGTGGCAGTAGTTGGAAAAAATAAGTACCGATAGAATTTTTTACTTTAAATTTGGACCCGAGATCCGAGTAAGCACTGATCTTCAGCAACCCATTCAATAAAGGCGACTTAAGGGATCGGATTGGCATGCTCGCTGACTTGGTTCATACTCATGTCATTGATCTTAAATTGCCCATGATGTCAATCACTGGACTGTTTGGCAAAGAAGCGATTATTTATTATGATCTGCTTGAAACTGGAATATTGCGGAGAGTGTCATGAACAATCAACAAACGAACAAAACAACGTTGACTGTATATCGATTGCAGTTTGATATGCCATATTGATACATATTTTACAAGTTTGGTTATCAGATTTGAGTGAGTATAGTTGACCATCGACTAACTGGAATAGGACTAAGTACATGAGAAGGTTTCGAGGCAGAACTTTCCTCTCCAGTTATGTGAAATGAATCATATAATATTTAAAAAGCCCGTTATTGTAACAGCTTGGGCCGACGGCCGACTTATATATGAGCTACGTCACTGACGTAAGCAGATTACACATTTGGTCTTGCAATTCAATGCAACACGTCTGACTTCTAAGGAGCGCTGACAGTGTTACACGCGTTGGAAACATGTACTTTGAGAAGACAGTAGATACGAAACCGTCTGCCGCTTCTCGCTGAATAATTTGTAAGTATGATCTAATGAGCGAATGCGTGGACTTTAATCAGTTGCCTTCCTATTGCCAAACATTTGACAATGTTTGATACAATACTGGTTTCTCGTAGGACGTTATGTAGTACTTAAACATTTTGAGGTCTACTTGGTTATTTAAAATTAATACAGAATTTATGTAATGGCACAATCGAGCGTGCTCTTTTTATCAGGATTTCAAAAAGCGTCATACCACTCTTGCTCAGAACTTGTTGGATCAAGGTTACAATAATCAAGGCCTCAGTAAAGCTTTCAAGAAGTTTTATGGTAGACATGTGGAGGGAATTTTCAAATTTAATGCATCAGAAATGATGTCCGATGTAACTTTCTATTTTGACTTATACCATATGTTCCCGAACGATTTCAGGTGAAAAAATGACTAGACTTAGCATGTGTTTATGACGGGTGCCACCTGTGGGGCAGGATACGCTTCTACATTAGATATTACCACAGTTTATAGATGTAATTGTATATCATATATTACCACAGTATATATGTAATTGTATATCATATATTACCACAGTATATATGTAATTGTATATCATATATTACCACAGTTTATAGATGTAATTGTATATCATATATTACCACAGTATCTATGTAATTGTATATCATATATTACCACAGTATATATGTAATTGTATATCATATATTACCACAGTTTATAGATGTAATTGTATATCATATATTACCACAGTATATATGTAATTGGATATCATATATTACCACAGTATATATGTAATTGTATATCATATATTACCACAGTATATATGTAATTGTATATCAGATATTACTACAGTATATATGTAATTGTATATCATATATTACTACAGTATATATGTAATTGTATATCATATATTACCACAGTATATATGTAATTGTATATCATATATTACTACATTATATATGTAATTGTATATCATATATTACCACAGTTTATATATGTAATTGTATATCATATATTACTACAGTATATATGTAATTGTATATCATATATTACCACAGTATATATGTAAGTGTATATCATATATTACCACAGTTTATATATGTAATTGTATATCATATATTACTGCAGTATATATGTAATTGTATATCATATATTACCACAGTATATATGTAATTGTATATCATATATTACCACGGTATATATGTAATTGTATATCATATATTACCACAGTTTATAGAGGTAATTGTATATTATATATTACCACAGTATATATGTAATTGGATATCATATATTACCACAGTATATATGTAATTGTATATCATATATTACCACAGTATATATGTAATTGTATATCAGATATTACTACAGTATATATGTAATTGTATATCATATATTACCACAGTATATATGTAATTGTATATCATATATTACCACAGTATATATGTAATTGTATATCATATATTACTACAGTATATATGTAATTGTATATCATATATTACCACAGTTTATATATGTAATTGTATATCATATATTACTACAGTATATATGTAATTGTATATCGTATATTACCACAGTATATATGTGATTGTATATCATATATTACCACAGTTTATATATGTAATTGTATATCATATATTACTACAGTATATATGTAATTGTATATCATATATTACCACAGTATATATGTAATTGTATATCATATATTACCACGGTATATATGTAATTGTATATCATATATTACTACAGTATATGTAATGGTATATCTACTATTACTACAGTATATATGTTATGTTATATCAGATATTACTACAGTATATATATGTCAAGGCTTATCAGATATTACTACAGTATATGTAATGGTATATCAGATATTACTACAGTATATATGTAAAGGCATATCAAAATTTACTACAGTATATATGCCGATGCATATATAGAGGATATTATATGAGTGCCCATGTCATACTATCTTTACGACACGAGTGCCCAAATGTTGGTATTTCCCGAGCGAGAGCGAGGGATATACCGATATTTAGGCACGAGTGTCGTAAACATAGTACGATATGGGCACAAATATAATATTCTGTTTATTACCGAAGTCGTCAAATTGAGGAAAATAACCCAAATCTAATTTCAAACAGAGGCTGTCTACCCGTCGTCGCTGCATGTAGAACGCAACGTCACAGAAGAAACGTGACGTCATAGCATTGTTCATGACGTCACGTCACCATGACAAAATATCACTTTCTGAAAAAGCACAGTGTATTCAGACCTACGATGTTTTCAAATTTGGGGACGCTAACTCAATTCCAGTATTGCTTTAGCCACTTTCAGTTACATGAATGTACAGGCATCACATGACGCGATAAACCCAGTGTGTAGATTGAATACCCGTAAATTTAATTCGAAACAAATTTCTTTTCTGACACAATTTCAAAACGCGAACACATCGGTTGTTGTGGAATGAGTAAATGAGTGAGTTTAGATATTGCCGCACTCATCAATATTCCAGCTATATGGCGGCAGTTCGAATTGGTCTCCAGCAACCCATGCTTGTCGCAAGGGGCGACAAATATTACGCTTGTCATCGTATCCCAACTGCGTTGATCGATACTTTTGATGCTGATCACTGGATTGTCTTGTCGATTGTCTTGTCTTGTTGCCTGACTTATCAGAAGGCAGAAAGCAGTATTAAATACCCATTTTGTAAATTTACCTACAGACAATGTTGACTGTCTCTGCCAAACACATTCTTTGTATCGATAAACCATAGCAGATGTCTCTTGCAATTTTCTGTTATTACCTGTTAGTAAGGACTATACATATGAGCCACAGTGTGGTACTTTTCCATTTCCAACACATTAACGCCTGCAGCTGTCTCTGACGTAATGTTTTTCACTTCCATTTATTGGAGAGTTAAGAGTCAGGTGAGTCTCACTGGCGATTTGTGTCATATTTTCATAAACCTAATGTTCAATATCATAAACTGTCATTTATAACATTTTCAAACATTTCAGACAGCGACGCTCTCATAATGCAATGCGACCCATGAAGACTCGGTTTAGAATTGGTCTTCTTGCTTGTCGTAAGAGGCGACAAATGGGATCGGGTGGTCAGGCTCGCTGATTTGGTCAACACATGTCGTCGTAGACACATGTCGCCAATTGTGTAGGTCGATGTTCTCATGTTGATTATTTGCAAATCATCTCCATATAACAGGATTGTTGTCGAGTTCTGTGTTAAACAACACAAAAAAACAACACATGCTTTGAGAATAACGTCAGTTTAGGTATCATATAGTGATTTAGTGATTCATTTATTCATTAACATTCACGAAGCTGCATTGTTGCGACAGAAAACTAATCAATTCAGTAGTGAAAATAAACTTTAACCGTGATTACAATGGACAGCTGGACCCGACAATGCTTGGCGTGGAATGACTGGAAGAAATTGCCATAGAAAATCTAGTTGAGGTTGGTTAGGTGCTGTAAGTTCGGCCTTTGGATGGGTGTAAAAACAAACTGGTCGGTTTGGAGGGGTGTGTCGTTTAGGTCGACTTGTTCCAGACAATGAGCAGTCAATGTTTTTACAACGGCACAGTTAATGCTAAAATGTTCACAGGAAAATAACTGAATAAGGATCACGCTGTAAAATGTCATTTATATTTGTGCATTCATTGGGGCATGATAAATAACACATATAAATAAAGTTGATAGTTGTCTTTGAATAAAATAACATAAAAGACGCTTTTATTTTGATACACACACACACATTATACGTTAAACTATTCATTGTATTTATATGCATTAAAGTAATCTTTATATTATATGATATACAGTCGAAAGATTTATCTGGACTTCGTTTTGTACTCTTGTTCACAATGTTCATATAACCAGTTACACATAGGTATCTTCCAACACGAGACGTGGGAAGAAACTTGTAGTCTAATTGTGCATTTGCCATAACTGAAGTTGTGGAAATATTGATGAAAACTGTCATTTCCAACATTCTTATAGCATGCAATTTTATGTAAGAAATTGAATAACTAACTAGTAATCAACATATTCAAAGTCATTCAGTAGGATTCCATATTTCGTTTCCTGGGTGAACACATTTCACATTTTGTAGAATGCCAGTGTTTTAATTCCTTAAAACAACACTGTTGTCAAAACATCAAACATCAAAGGATTTTCATCTCGACCGAAAAGTCGAACTTACGGACTACCCCTTGAGGTTGAGGTCCAAATGAGGTTATGGGTGGTTATTGATATTCAATGAATGGATGAAAAAAAAATCTTGTTGAAAGTAAACATTTTTTTTAGAAGTGTCATATTATGTTTAGCACGGACAGTTAGGAGGAACATCCCACCAGTTACACCGCTCGAAGAATTTCAAGTTTTAAGGGTCCGCTTATTACAGACTTGAGGGTGATGGGGTAGTCTAATGGTTAAAGTGTGCGTCGTCATGCTGAAGACTCTGGTTCGATTCCCCACATGGATACAAAGTGTGGAGCCCATTTATGGTGTCCCCAGCCTTGATATTGCGTGAATATTTCTATTCATGTTATAAAAGTAATGCACTTAGCTCCGTTCCCATGTGTATTGTAACAAGGTATAGGTTTGCTCTGAACTAACATAAATTCAAAGTCTTCTGACGTTAGCTGCACAAAATATATTCATCAGTTACTTTTCCTTTCTTAAAGATCACATATACTCTACGGGGTACAAATGCATAAATCATTTAATGGCATCGTTATAAATCAAACCCCTTCATTAAAACTACTCATTTCGACCCTTAATTAACATAAATCGACCTTTTCGACAACACTGCACAATTCTCTCCCGCGAACGAAATTTCAAACAATCAAAGGGGCGCGTCTCCGTGACATAATACGAGGTATTGATATGAGGGGCATTTTAGAATTCAGGTACATTTCAGGGGGTGAAGTATTTTGTTTACAGGTTTGTCTAAACCTGAAGTCGTGACAATTGTTGTGAAAAATTAAAGCTTTATGTTTTCACAATCTACT